TAGTTTATTCTGTTATCGATTTAAAAAATGGAAATAATATTTTTGCCTGTGTATTTAATATACCAAACCTTTTCTTTGGTTTATTGCTTATCTAAATGCTTTTCTGTTGGGTTGTCTTGTTGCTACTTTTTTCTCATCATTATTGGTAGGTATTTCTGTAAAAGAAAATTATTCTAAGTGAATCGACTTACCTCAGGTCTCATTCTTTTTCGCTCTGGCGAACGATGATCACGACTGGAATAACTCTGATTGGGTTCCTGTTAATAACATAGTGATACAATTGCAGGTAATATGTACATATGAATTAATATGTGGTAAATATAACGTCTTAATTGAATAAAATTTCAATGTTTGTACACCTATAAAACTAATTGAAATTTATTATGTTTAAATTAAATTAAATAGAAGTACAGTTTATTTTATGTCTCATTCGACGCCTATCCACAAATTAATCATGTGAACAGGTAACACAGAGACAAAATTCACATAGGTACATATATAATTTGTTTAAAAAATAAAATTATTATCATACACTCACCATGCGATAAGATTTGTGATAATCTTCATGTCTTGAACCTGAATAACGTTCAGAGGGTCTAAAATCAAAAGAGCTTGAGAATGAGTTAGAAAATCGACCCCCACTTCCGCCCCCAGGGCCGCCTCTTGAAGATCCATAACCTGAGCGGCTTCTGTCTGATCCACCCCATGGAGAACGACCTGAACCACCTCGATATGACATACTAAAACCCCGGCCACGCGTCATAGCTACGGCCTGACTGAAACTAAAGAAAAAAAATGTATTCAAAAATTCATTTAACTCAATCAGTACTTCATTTTCTGTGTTTGAGACAGTTGCACTACCTCACCTAGGTTTGTAGTAACTCATCCGTATTACTGCAATAAAAATCAATGTTATAACAATTAATTACAAGTCAAGCTAATATATTCAATTTCGAAGGGTTTGTCGACAGCGTGGTCTAAATATGAATATGGTCTACGTATGAATAAAAACACCCAAGTTACTTATTTTAATAAATACTTATGTGTCTGTTTGAGTCAATCACTATTTTTTTTAAATAAAAGTAGCAAGTGAAATTAAATGCATAGGTACGTTACAAAATTTTTACAAATAAACGGTGAACCGCCAGCTTCCTATTTTAAAATGGCTGACTACTATTGAGAGAAATAATTGATAATTTGCTTGCTTCAACTGACACAAATGTTTGCAAAAAAAACATATACTAATGATATTTTAAACAAATTGCAAGACTTACCGAACGGCTACTTAATACAGAATAATTTCCCTCAATTATCCCTTTTGATATATTTAACACAAAATTCACAATTGCACACGGCTAACAAAAATGGTATACGCCCATAGATAATAGATATACAAAGGGTACACCATAGACGTAAATAAGATTTGAACCATAGCTAAGATTTGGACCATATTAGCAGTCATGTGAACTGACACTCTATATAAACAAAGCGCTTATTTAAACTTTACCTATAAATTGTACGTCGTTTGCGAGTTGTAAATATGTATGTAGTTTACTTGTACATCAATAGTTTTATTAAAAAAAGGAAAATTTGTTTGGAGTGCTGAAAGAAATTCAATGTCAATTTATTTAAAAACTATTCAAGCTCATATTATTTAGTTGACGCCAAAAAATTGCGCGTCATTTGTACTAGAAGATTGAGCTATTTTGGTAAGCGAAATTTATCTTAACGTTAATTAATGTAAATAACAGTTCAATTAAATTTCATTGGTATTAGTAATATACGTGCCCAAATGGAAACTATAAGTTCACACCACAGATTGGAAATTATAAATCTTTAATCTGTGGGTAGATCCGGACGTAGTCGAAATACGTACGAATTGTTCCGATTATAAATTTTTAACCTTATCATATTTATGGATTAACCACTACTTTTAACACTTTGTAGTACAAAGTTTGTACGCATTTCGTATGTATTTGTAATTGCCCTTAACACAAAAGATAAAAACAGCAAATTGGAATCTGGCACCCGATATAAATAATACTTTGATTTAAACTTTACAAATAAATTTTGCATTATTTGCTGATTTTAAATATGTAAAAAAGCGTATTTGTACGTCCATTAGTTTTGTTAAAACAAATTGTTTCGAGAGCAGATGGAAACAATGTCGATTTATTCAAATAATATTGAAAATAACATAATTTAATTTGCTCCAGTGTATTTGCACGTCATTTGTACTTGGAGACTGATCTATTTTAGTAAGCGAAATTTATTTTTTATTTATTTAAAATATTTACAATACTTAATTTTTCAGTGGCATTAGTAGCATCCATTGGTAGCAACATATTAATTGGCTGTGACTGTATGGATACAAACGTATTAAATCAAAAGGTAGGATAATTTGAATTTGCAATCATATAATTGAACTGATTTTTAATTGTTTCTGTATGTGCTAATGAGTAGTCAGTTTAGTACACATTCATATCTTATTTCTTTATAATTATACAACCTTTTTGTGCATCTTCAATTAAATTAAACTGAAAAGACATTAATAATTATTTAGATTATAACACAAGTGATGTGTTGAATTCAATATTAATTTTAAAGCAAAAAAAAATATATATATAAAGCTTACCTAGTGTAAGTGACAGTGTAGATATCTTTCGGTTTATTGCAGAAATACCTGAAAAAGTCAACTTTTGAGTTAATAAAGGCTAATACTGAATTTTAATAAATCCATTAAAAACGACCTAGTACAACCTGCCAACAGTTGTATACCCAAATCATCACAAAGGAACCCATTTATGTATTACTTTTTAACGTTATGTTACCACATTATTTGTTATCGAGCTTAAGTTAATAATATATTTAAATATTGTTTTGATTGTTTAACAGGAATATTATACAAAGTTGGTGCAGTTGGTCTGTGATTGTAGTAGTCCGTATTTCATCCCAGTATGGAGCAGTATCGTTTTGTTCACTGAAAGCAGAAATAACAAGGGTAAATATGAAACTTTTATATATGTATAATAATCGTAAAATTATCATTTTAATGATTTTGGGATTTTGTTGTTCATTAAGAAACGTTTCGGAGAATAGAATAGAAACATTCTTGTCGATTTTAGAAATACACAATTATTTTAGGGAATTTATTATAGACACTTTTTTGCTATTGCAATAAGAGGCAGAATGAATAATTTAGATTTTGTTAGTTATAATGCAATTATTTTGTTAAAATTTTCATAGTTTATTCTGTTATCGATTTAAAAAATGGAAATAATATTTTTGCATTTTTATAGGCGCGAAAACTGGTTTCAAATGTTACCATTATTGAGCAATCAACAGTATGCAATCCAATTTACATTGGTGCGTCTACGGTTGCATACGAGATGTTCTTGTTTTACATAATTTTTCTTTGCTTTTTACTGTCAATGCTTAGTAATAAAATTGTTGCCAATACCGTAAATTGTTTAAATAATATTGCTTTTCAATGCTTTTTTAACGAACGAGTGTTGGTCGGTCATTTATGAGACGTTTAAAAATTTGATAACGATGTTTAAAAACACATAAATGTTTTAAGAATAGTTGAGCAAATTCTAATAACTACTGGAACATTTAAAGTGTGTGAAATAATTAAAATGCAAAGGATAAAAACATTTTTTGAATTATGAAATAGCAAAGACGTAAATCTTTATTGTTTCTTTCCCAGAATAATTTTTTAAAATAATTAATATTTGGTGACAGTAAATAAAAACACTTTTAAATGCTTCAGACATAGAATTTATGAAAACTGAGTTTTAATGAATTAATTATTTTAAAAAGTAGTAGTCATTTTTTCTTGGCTTCTCCAAATGAATTTTTTCTTCAGCAGTTCAATCTACACAAACAGTGTAATTCCTTTTTAATCGAAAATATTAAAAGTCCTTGTTGTAGAGAGGTAGTAAGATGGTTAAGAATCTTTAAAGTAAATAATTGTAATTGATATTATTTGCTTGAAACATCCAGATAACTGTTTTATAAATGGTTCTCTAAAATTGAAAATTAATTTATTACTTTAAATATGTATATGGAAAGATTATTTAAATGAAATAAGTACATAGTTGTTCATTGTTTTTCTACAGGCTCTACAGTACCAAGGAGCATTGAAATGGTTTACGGTCTATGCCATGATGTAATAATATAAATGTTGTGAAGCGGTTTTTCTAAGTGTATGGTTCCTTCTGTTCTAGTATGAAATAATGGAATGCTTTGGGTAAGATCGTAGATCGCAATAATTTAAAAATGGAACCTTACCTTCAGTTTTAAATGTGATTCAATAATTTACATATGAATTATCCGGCTGCTCTAAAGTAGTACATATAAATAAAAGATAAAAAGCAAGATATAAGTTACTTTAATCTACCAGTTATTGCAATCATACAATTACAAAACTCCATTACATTATAGTTGTAACTAAATAATCCGCACATTAAACTTATAATAAACATTTATTTTTTTTGAAGGAAAGAAATTAATGTTATTTATTCTTTTGTCTTCATTTAGCTTCAACAGAGAGTCAAGTAACGGGCTTCCTTTTCTGGAAATGTGGATAACGCTCAGAGCATGAAGTGGATTGCTGAAGAATGAGTTTGTAACATGCAATTAGTCACTTTTTGGACACATTGTAGGACTACAAGGTAAGAAAAACCCTTTAAGAATATTTTTAGGACTTTAGTTATTTCATTACACAATCCCAAATAATAATAATTCGCTATTTCTTCCTGTAGTTCTAATGTAAGCAAAAGATTAAAGATCCTAGAACATAATGCAAAGGATAGCCAGCATATATCAATTCTTTGTATAAAACCTTAGATTTTCTATTATTTAGTTGATTCAAATTTTCAGTTTATCCAAATTTTCTATAAAAAGGCGTGACTGGCTCCACATCGTTTTGCTGATTTTACCACAAAAATTAATCGAAAATAGCAATTTGCAATTTCACCCTTATTTAAAGATTTTCGTTTCTTGTTTATTAATATTTTAAACTCTGGTTATGAAAGCCAAGTCTTCAATTAAGTAAAGGAATTCAGTACTGCGTCTGCAGCCTGGCGCTCAGAATACTTTGCAGTGAAGTGGGTTGTCTATATCAAGGGCGAACAGTCGCATGTATTTTAAATTCGAATTATCATGGCATCGATGTTACCCTCCTTGCACATTACACGTTTTTGCCCGTGCGGGAATAAATCGTACGGGCAAATATTTTTAGTCTCCTATGAAGAGTATGGAGGTCTTTCACATTGTACGGTTACGGCACGGACACGATTTTTGATCGCGTTGCAGCCGTCCAGTGCCACTACATTTGAACGGTAGCCGTATCGTATCTTCGCTTAGTGGACTACGTGGCCAAATGCACCCTTTCATACTAGACGGTTTCAATCGTGCGGGAACCTGTCTACTACTACCATTTAATTCGCGTTGTTTACAGTTTACAGTTGTTTCTTTTGCGGTTTAATATACCTTCAAAAAATAGCTTTTCAATAATTTCCAGCAGACAGATGGACAGACCGTCAAACTGACTGACGGTTTTTGGAAAACAAATATGTATTTCGTGGTTTAGAGATTCTACAACGTGAAAATAAGCAATGATCTCGGAGGATGATTCTTTTTAAGATAACAATACCTCCCTCTGCAAGGGAAGTAAAAGCAGTCGGTGTTAAAGACACTTATTACCTTAAAGTTATAGCTAGCATTTCAATAAGTTGTACACAATTTCTAAATTGTGTGTTTTGCCGTCGAAGGACATTCTGCAATTTGCCGTGCAGTTCGTCAAAGGAGTCAACTGACATACGAAAGTAGTTGAAAAACTTCCGTTCATCATTTCTCAGGTCTTCAAACAAGGTATAGAATAACCCCATTTCCTCACGTTTCTGATTAATAGGATGCACCCAATGAAGGCGCTCACGCCTTTGTCTTTTTAGATACAATAACCGAGCTATAATTTGCCCCCGATTCATAGTCACTGTACAATACTTTCCTCAGAAATGGTGACAACGAGCATATGTATCTGAATAATGTTTTTGTACGGTTACAAATCGTGTGATTTCTACGTTTAAAATCGTACAGTGTGAAAGCAACTGCACCACGATATAAACTCGTACGACTTTTGATCGTGCGGGCGAAAACGTGTAATGTGCAACCAGCGTTACAGTGCGAGTCGAAACTTGTAAACAACTAAATGTTTGAATTTTAATAAAATAATCCAATTTTATTTGGCACATAAGCAGTCTATAAAAATAATTATGATTTTACGACACTTAACACTGTTAATTTAAGTGATTTTTTTCACTTTGTTTTCTATATTTCTCTGATGTGGACATTTTTTCCCTTTTGTCCTGTACATCACACATTTTTTGCAATTTCTGATAGCGAAAGTCACTTAGTTAAAAATGCCAAAAAAAAGTGTTAGCTTTATTTGGGAAAAATGGCGATGAGGGTGTAAAACTATAATAAAGAATATATCATTCAGCAACAATAATAAGAACACAGCAATGAATTTTTGATCTCTGTCCAAAGATTGAGCAATTTGCAACAGTTATTTCATGCGTAGGCAACTGAAATTATAATTTATTTCATGGTTTTTAAGAGGCATTGTATTTCTTAAAAATTCCGTGTTTGCAAATTGCATTCAATTAAAAGAAATGAAGTTTTAGTTATAGTACGCTTGTAAAAAATTACCTGCACATTCTGTTGACACAAAAATGGAAAAACTGGCTGTGATTTTGAATTATGTCAATCTAAAATGAAAATTTCTCACCCTTATGGCAACGAAAAATACTTGTCAATTTTTTGACAGTGGTTTATGTAACTAAAACTTTCTTACGTTCCTGTATAAGATGAATATTAGGTACATTATAATATTTACTTTGTTTATATGAGTAGTAGTTTAAAACAGCAATTTCACGCATAGTAGATACTTGTAAAAAGTCCTTATTTACTATTGTTTTCGTCGGTACACGTTTTTTGGCTTTTCCACCTTCCCAGATTGCCTAAGGTGAGCTATTCACCCCCCTCCCCCAACCCAATTTCAGGGCCTTTAAACTCTGTTAAGTTGATAGATATGGTGAGGAAAAGTAATTGAGTTATATAATATGTATGCAGTATCAATTGATTTCATTTAATGACATAGTATATACAAATACAAACTACAAATTATAGATGTTACCTATTAATTTTATAAAAACTTCAAATTCTGAATAGCTAAATCCACAAATCAAATGAATACAAGTCTAAATNTTAATTCTTTTAATGTTTAAAAAATTCAATTTGTTGTTCATTTGGTAGAATTTTATTATACCACAGGAATGCGATAAACCCACAAGTCAACATTGTCGAAGTTATGTATGTACGTATGTTGTGTTTTTTAATATACGTTTCTATATTAATTTACAATTGGTATAATTTTATTTTGTTGATCGTGTTCTTTCTTTAACTTTAACGTCTCAGTTTATAGCAGTGTATGTGTATGTGTCTGTGTGTGTACACGTACGTTCGTGAGTGGTCATTTTTTTCCTGATTGGTATCGGGCGAACAAAAAATGATATCGACTAAATGGTTTGTTTATCTTACGATTAAACGTTCGATAATCGTCAATTCTCCATCTATGCAGAGGCAGAATTTTTATCACACTATACTCCTATGTTGCCAACTCACTTATACAGGACCCACTTCGGATCATAAATTATTGATTTTCTTAAAAAAAATTGGCCTTAACCACGCAGTTGAACGCGCCGTGCGATTGTTTATTGCTTCTAGTTTACAACCCTCCAAAGCTCGACACTAATTTCTGTTACACCCTGTATAATATTTTTATCATCATGTGTAGTTTAACATCCCTAAACCAGACGATAACAAGTAAGTAGGTAGAGTTTATTTAACTAAGAAATCTTCCGATTTGATTACGTATAAATTAAACCTCAGAAATAAAACGTACTAGTTTGCTAAAAATTATTAAATTGTAACCACAGTAAAATACGTTATTTTGTGTATTTATTAATCAATCAAGTGACGGATCGAGTCCTAATCACTACATAGTATAAAACAAAGTCGCTTTCCGGCTGTCTGTCCCTATGTATGCTTAAATCTTTAAAAGTACGCAACGGATTTGGATGCGTTTTTTTTTAAAAGATAGAGTGATTCAAGAGGAAGGTTTATATGTATAATACATGCATAATATAGTAGGGAAACACTGATAATTTTAGAGGTTTCTAATGTGATGTCGTAAATAAACACATTTTTTCCGCTTACATTGCAAACGCTGGCTGAACTCTACGGAATAGATCAAAATAATGTACTACAATATTGTACATCTTAAAAGGGTCTACAAAAAAGTCCGCGATGGTATATGTCTATCTCTTAGGGATAACCCACAATAACCATTTTTATCCTTTACTTTTTATGAGAAATAATGGCTTATATACGAAGCGATTTTAAGCAGTACAACATTAATTATTATCCAATTAAGTACCTTAAATACATTATGCATTTAATATAGATCAATATGGCCCTTTACAGCATCTAATTTAAATGAATATTTTCGAAGATATTACAGATTTAAAATGCAGGAACTAGCGGTTGCGGCGGTACCGGCCGGGAAACCGATTTGTATTGTCTAATGACAAAAACACTGTAAATGTTGTATATAAAGACATTCTGTAGTACATTTAGTATGTTTAGAAGGTATCTTATGACGATTTCCCCTTTTCGATAATAATCTAAACAAAACAAAAATATATTTAGTATCAGCATTGCACCCGTGCGAAGCTGGGACGGGTCACTGTATTACTTAAAAAATATAAAAATAAAAGTAATAAATACAGTGGCGGAAAGAAATCTGGATACAGAAAGCGCCAAATCAAATATACAGCTATAAATTGTGTTTTTAATAGATTTTTTGGCCAGTACGAGGATGTTTTGCACTGTTTTTAATGTAATGACTTTGTTAAAGTCACTATTAACCACTGAAGCAAGTTTAGAGTCTTTCTTTACTAATTGAATAATTTGCAGTTCTTCTCTTTCGGTTAAAGCTTTAGGTCGGCCTGTACGAGCTTTTGTAAAAACATTTCCACGCTCATTAAAATTTTTAATTACTGTCTGCACAGTTGCATTGGACTTCTTGATTGGATCCGCAGTTTTTCACATACTTTACTGTTCGTTTCTCAACTTTATACTTAATTGTCGCAGTTCTACAGACACCTCCTTACCTTTGTCACTCGTTCTTATTTTTTTTTTTCAGTTCGTACGGTATATGAAAATTTAAATTACTTTCTTCACCCATACTTAAATAACAAATGAAAGAAATGACGTTTAGTAATTAACAATCAGCACAGCCAACTTGTATTTCATTTATACACACGTATGTTCATAAATAAACAATTGGTATATATATATATTAATCGCATAAGTAATTAATTTAATGCTGAATGTCTCTTTCGGCACTCTTTGTACACAGACTTTTTTCCTCCATTGTAGATGTTAAAAAAAACAGTTTAATCATTATCCAAACTTAATATCATTTGTAATTATTTATCTTGTATTTTTAATCATGGTTTTACATATAGCTTATTTAATTCGTTCTGAATTCGACTGGATTGTTTTTTTATGTGTACCTATGTATCGCTATTTCTTTGCAGATTGTGAACCGATTTTGATAATTTTTATTATTGGATAGGCTATATCTTAAGGAAGGACGGAAAACAATTTTTTTTTGTATTGTTTATTGTCCTATTTCTAAAGTAGATCTCTTTGTCTCATATTTAAATAATTTATATTCCAGAACATCCGTAATTCAATTTAGAAGCATTATTTTCTTCTGTAATGCTCTCTTTTTAAGTTTCCACTGTCTCTCTCGCTCTTGTATTCAGTTAATTTTGGAGTTGTGATCAGGCGATTTAAACCGTCGCAGAAGTTTAATTTGATGCTTCTGATTGGCGTTTTATACGCGTCATCAGCGCTTCATGCAGTAGCTTTCGCAATTTCAAGAAACGGAAACGGGTTCGGTCTTTTATAAGTTGTTAGTGGTTCGTAGCGGTTGGATGTTTTCTTCGCATCTTTTAAATTCTACTTCCCGAGCTAATTTTTTTCTACGTGTAACACCCTGAAAGATTAAATTGATTGATTCATATTGTATATTATTATTTTCCGCAATTATCCACAGAGTAAATTAAATTTTTCGCGTAATAGACGTTTCTTTGAATTTTATGCATCTATGAGAGAAGACACGCCTCATCGCCATTTTAAAAGTAAGAAGTTTACAATTTTACTTGCTTTTTTGTAAGTATTTTTATTCTATTTCATTATTTATTTACTTCATACAATAGTTAATTCGTTGTTTCTCTATTTCTACAGATTTAAGATAAATGAGTGAGGAGATTGAAATTTATTTTGATGCTACTGAAAAAGCAAGTCGTCTCGTGTGGTGTTTTATCTGTTATCATCTTGGAGACTTGTAGTTAATTAAGGTGAGCGTACATGCTATATTATATATGTAGTATATTTATNTCTACAGATTTAAGATAAATGAGTGAGGAGATTGAAATTTATTTTGATGCTACTGAAAAAGCAAGTCGTCTCGTGTGGTGTTTTATCTGTTATCATCTTGGAGACTTGTAGTTAATTAAGGTGAGCGTACATGCTATATTATATATGTAGTATATTTATTTAATATCAACAGAAAAAGGGTTGAACATTGCTTCAACTAGGGAATCTAAAGTAATTGTATCTGAATACTTTTTCATTGATTTCATTTTATAGGAACATTGTAAAACTCCACATGCCATTTAAATTAAGGAGAATCGGTTGTATCAATTCCCATTTGCTAGAGAAAGTATATGTGTACTTATGGTCTTAAAGAAAGCATGGAAGTGCCTTTTTTCCATTGGGACATTGTCATTGTGCTATTGCTGTAGGAAGGATTCGTGACATTGAATTGGTAAGTAACTATCAATTGGAAATAGTAAACGAGATCCACCCTAAAAACCTCTATCTCTTAGAAATTTGTAACTTGCTTCAATAGACAACTTTTAAACAACGTGTTTCAGAAAGAGGTAATTAATTACTTTTTATTGCATGTTTCTATAGATTGTTGTAACAAATTAGAAGGAATTGGTGCTACTGAAACAACCGATGCTTTTGATGTTTTCAACTTGCAACATTATGCAGTTAATTTTAACCCTGAGAATGGGAGGCAGTTGGAAATTAATTTGGAAACCAGTGAAACAACAAATCTTCTGCAATGGTATCCTTCCTAGATTTGATTTGCTCAACACACTGATGAACTTTAGGACACTACCTTTTATAGTTAACTAAGGTGAGAGTATATAACAATCAATATTAATTGCTCTTTATTAAATTGTTAATGACATTTCTTTTAACAACTACCTATTAGTTTAACCATGTATTATACACGTTATTTACTAAGGAAGCTAAAATATTGTTTCATTTTACAGGAACGTTGGAAGAACTCCAGATTCTGTTAAATTGTGGAACATTGGTTGTCTCAGTCGTCAATCGCTTCAGAAAGTAGCTGTGGCTGTGGTCCTAAAAAAAGCATAAAAATGCCATTTTTCCATTGATAACGGATACAGTGTGCTGTTACTGAAGAAAAGATTTATGACAATGAACTGGTATGTAACAGTATCAATTAAAAATAGTAAATGTGGTCCCAGAAACTTCAATTTCTTAGACATTTGTAACTTGCCTTAAAAGACAACTTTCAGCAGAATTAATGTGAAACTGGTCGTTTGACTAGCGTGAACGTTACTGATTTACTTGCTTTAAAAGTGGTAATTAATTACTTTTTATTGCCCGTTTCTCTAGATTGTAACAAATTAGAAGGAATTGGTGCTACTGAAACAACCGATGCTTTTTGATGTTTTCATCTTGCAACATTGTGCAGTTAGTTTTGGCCCTGTGAATGGGAGGCAATTGGAAATTAATTTGGAAGCCACTGAAAAAACAAATTGTCTGCAGTGGTAGACTTTAGAACGCTACTTTCTACAGTTAGTTAAGGTGAGAAAACAAGACGTAATTAATTTTTAATTGCTCCTTATTAATCTATAGTGGCATTTCTTTTAAACTGTTGTCTATTGGCGAGAGTAGATTGACGTTATGGCATATGTATAGTATTTTAAATATCTATGGTCCACAGCATCTATGATATGTCGTTTAACGTTTATGTATTGTTTCCAGTTCAAATTGACTGGTGCATCTGTGGAATTTTAATAATTATCTATGGTCTACATGTTATCGTGCATCTGTGATTATTTCACATATATATGTCAAATTTGGTCTGTCATGTGAACTTGACGCTTGTCTCCATTTTATAATTCAGCTGTTTTATTTGGTTTTTGGTGCGTGTTTTTAGGGTGTGTTTAATGTGTTCCTTAATTAATACTGTAAATAATATGTTTTTTGCCCGTTTCTACAGATCGTCAACAAATGAGAGGGAGTTATATTCAGTTTGGTTGTACTGAAACAACCATTGTCTACATTGGGTGTGGTCTTCGGTGAACTATATTCTTGATTTGCTGTTTCGTCTTCGCTTTGCATCATTATGCAGTTAGTTTTGAACAGATGAGTGAGAGCAACTGGATATTTATCTGAATTCCACTGAAATGACAACTTTTCTGCATTGACATTACTCCTGGATTTGGTTCGCACCTGCAAACTTTGGAATATTACAGTTTACAGTTACTTCAGGTAAGAATACTTGATATAATAAATTTTATTATTAATCTAAAGTAGCATTTCTTTAAAACTGTTACCTATCGGCCAGAGTCTATATTAATGTTGTGACATATGTATAGTATTTTAAATATCTATGGTCCAAGGCATCTATGGTGTGTCGTTTAACATTTATCTATGGTTTAAATTCACTGGTGCATCTGTAGAATCTTAATAATTATCTACTGTCTACATTATAAATTAATATTATGAGAATCTATGATTATTTCACATTTATATGTCAAATTTGGTCTGTCATGCGAACTTGACGCTTGTCGCGATTTTATAGTTCAGCTGTTTTACTTAATTTTGGATGTGTTTGATCTCTTCCTTAATTAATAGTGTAATTAATATGTTTTTTTGTCCATTTCTACAGATCGTTTAACAAATGAGAGGGAGTTGAAGTTCATTTTGGTTGTACTGAAACAACCATTGTCTACATGGGTGTGGTCTTTGGTGAACTACATTCTTGACTTGCTGTTTTCGTCTTCGCTTTGCATCATTATGCACTTGGTTTCGAATTGATGAGTGAGAGCAAGTGGATGTTTATTTGATTTCCACTGAAATAAGGAATTTTCTGCATTGGCATTATTCCTGGATTTGATTTGCCTTTCACACTTGCAAACTTTGGAACATTACAGTCTACAGTTAATTAAGGTGTGAATACTTGATATAATTAATTTTAATTGCTCTTTATTAATCTGTTTGCCACCGTATCTGTTTCAGATCGACGTTGGAGAAGACAATGATGACCCCGTAGTTGAAATAGTTCTCTATCTTACATGCTCTATCTAGTAGAAGTTGATTAAGTTGATTTTATTCAAATTAAATTTTTATTTTGCATGTTTTTTTTGTAGTTTCTTGTAGTGAATTTGACTTGGTTTTTATTTTGCATGCTTATTTTTTCATATTGTTTGAAGTAATTGTTGATTGTAGATGTTTTAATTTTTTTTTTGTATATAGTAGTAGAAATAACACGTTTAGTAGTTGTAGTATAGTCTAACCTTGCTTACCTCTTCGCTTAGCTTACTGCATATTCTTACTATAAATTGCTTTGCATTTACCCTACGAGTTCTACATGATTCAACGTTTCGTTATCGTGTGTGTTTCTTCTCACCCTTGTGGAATTAGGGAGGGCCTCCCCGAACGACTTCCCTTGGGCTTAGCTATTTAGTTGATCTTAAAAGTGTCTTATACACTTTTCGCGAGTCTACTC